GGAAGGTCAGGTCTGTCCTTGTGACTTCTCCTTCAGGCCTCCATTTGGAACCATCGTGAACCATTTGAGGATGAAGAAGACCAAAAGTTTTGCATTTTGGGATATTGATTTTTAAGGTGGTTATTAAGAAAAGATTCAGAGTGGCCCTGGACAGTCAGCTTAGTTGGTTAGTGTCGTCCCAATAAGCCAAGGTTGGGGATTGGATCCCCGATCAGCACACATATAAGAAGCCACCAATGGCTGCATAAATAAGTGGAATAACAAATCAATGTTTCTCTCTCTATAGATCTCTCTCACTTCTTCTCTTTCTTTAAGATCATTCAATCAATAAAAAATTTAAAAGCATTGCTGTAATTATTTAAAAAAATAGACTCTCCTGGCTGGTGTGGCTCAGTGAATTGAACACTGGCTTGTGAACCAAAAAAAAAGAAGACTCAGAATCTTTGACACTCCCCTCATTCCAGCCTGAGAGACTCAAAGGGAAATGCCTATCCCAGTAAGAAAATCTTAGGATGTTTGTTTTAGCAGCCTAACTTGAATTAGTATGGTGGATGGGAGGGCATTAAACAGGGGCCTGTTTACTAGATTACCCCATCTCATTGTTTCTCCATTGCCTCGCAAAAATTTACCTGCCATGGACACATGTTCAGTTCTTTCTCAGCTACCAGTGAATCTCCTATTCCCACTTTTGAAATCTCAGTCCCCTACCCCAACTTTTATCCTTCGTCCAAAATCACATATATATAATTTTACTTCTCTGTCTTTGGAATTTTAAGGCTTATGTGAATTTCCTGTGTGCATGTATTAAAAATTGGATTTTGTCCTGTTAATCTGTCTCTGGTAATTTGATTATTAGCCCAGCCAGAAGAATTTAAAAGGGGAAAGGTCACACACACACACACACACACACACACACACACACACACACACGAGCGCCCCAAAAGGGGTTCCTGTTGTCTAACTCAACAGGGTCTTTCTTACCTGGTGTCATCCTTCTCTTCTGGCTGCACCTCAGTTTCGGCTGTTCCCAGAGCTACTTGTCTCTCTTTCTGAAGTTCTCACTATGGCTATCCACAGAAAAATTTAGAGTTGCCCATATTTAACTCAGACCACTGTTACCAGAAACCCAATGTTTTGCCTTGGGCCTGCCTGTCTGCACACACTGGCCCAAAGGAAAGCACAAGGAGTCTGAAGTATAGAAAAAAAATAGTTTAATATTCGAATTGGCCAATTTGGAGATGAGAAGCTAATGTGCTAAAGACCCAACTCCCCAGTAGTGTATAGGTTACAAATTATACAGGGCAAAATTACAAAATACTACTGTGGGTTATTGGAGTCTGGGATAGTGCTAGGGGCTGATTGGTCAGAGGTGAGGGTAATAAATCATTTCTTCAGGTCCTGAGGACAGCTCTGTGGTCTTTTCATCCCTCAGTCTGGTCTCACGGGAAAGTAGCCAGAGGGAACTGAAACAGAACTTAGGTCAAAATGTTATCTTTAGCATATCAGATGCCCAGACCCTGTAACCAATAGTGAGGTCTCAACTACCATGTTCTGATGCCTTGGGTGTTCCTGATTATCCAGGGGGAAGACTAAGTCTTTAAGGGGTATAGAGAAAGACAGGGATACTATTTCTAGAAATAAGATTTAAAGGTAAACTTAATTAAAGTTATAAGGATCCTGAGTTTCACCACTCCAAACAAATCTCTAGAATTTGGTGTGAATCAGCCCAGCCAATTTTAGTGATTCAGAAATAACAGAAATAATTTACTGTCTGTACTAAAAAAGAACAACAACAATGTATATTTACCTTCCTTAACAATAAAAGGTAACGAAACAACAAACAGCAAAAAACCCAAACAAACAATGATCACTTTGAAAATAGCATAGAAGAGGGACAGGGTAGAAAAGGAAGTGGCTATTGCGATGGTGTGAGAAATGATCAGGCCCCGAATGACTGCAGCTCTGGGTTTGGAGAGGGGAAAGGGCTGGTCTGAGGAAAATGAAGGACGCAGAACTGGCAAGTTAAATCAAGTTAAATGATTTAGTAGAAGGGAGGTGGGATAAGGAAAACATTAAGCACTTAGCTGTGCTGGGTCTTCATATACATAAACACATTTAATTAGCCCATAGATTTGAAAAGTGTGCTTGAATACGCTTAGGTAGGGCCTGGTGCTACCTATTATTTCTCCACATGGGGCAGGCCAAATCATTTGTAGTCAATGGGAGCAAATTTTATAATAAAATCTAGGACAAGGAAGAACTGCACTTACTTTTGGATAATAAGGCCAAGGTTATTATTATGACAGACTGAATAAGATCAAAGTCACATAAAAGGGACATGTTTTTCTTGAGTGCCAGAGAAGTTGGTTTCCAGAAGAAAATGAATCTTCAGGTTGGTGAACTATGTTAGATTTTAGGTACATTAGGATGAAACCAAGATCTCATCTTTGGCCTCCTTCCAGCTTCCATCAAATGGCCCTCAATTCCATTCTTTTGCTGACAGTGGTCAGCAAAAACAAAGTTGAGAGGAAATCTTTTAACACTCTGAGAATGATGACAAAGGGAAAATTTGCAAGACTAAAGACTGGATTGGGGGGTTGGGTCTACGTTGTTCTGTGGAAGGGAGGTAGGGTTTGAGGGAGATCAGAGCTGGGTCTTGAAAAGGCTTGAAGGAGAGGATATCAGCCAGAGCAAGACAAACATCCTATTGGAATACTGGGGTAACCTTTTAGGATACCCAACGGAAACTCAAGTAATGAGCTTGTGCCCTTCTGACAGTACAAGAGTGCAAATTATCCAAGCCAAGGGCAGAAATTTCATTGTTCCTGTTACTTCACATGGCTTTGGGATTCTCCTCTGGTCCCTGGGTGAAGAGTTTCTGGGCCCAGGAATGGTGGTGGCAGTGGTGGGGTTGGAGTTAAGGATACTATCATTTCTTGACCAATGGATGGACAGTGGCTTATGCCCCTATTATGGACAACAAGACAGCAAAGGCATCCACCGGCAGACCAGTCCCAGGCCGCAGCCATGGTACGGCTGAGTCCCCTTCTTTTCTCTGTCTCTGAGGTCAACTAGAGACACTAAGAGGACACAGAGGGGATGTACGTTTTCCGAGGTAGGGGCTGCTACCCTTAGGGACTGTTTGCTGATTAGGCCTGGGGATTAAGACCGAGGTTTCCACCTTTCATGGTGGGTGACTTACATTTCAGTATTGAGTATGTTCAGGGATTATTGATGAGGCAGAAAAAGAAAAAAAAATTGTTGTGGTGTTGTACTAGAGTGCTCTGAAACTTGATGCTCATACCTTTTAAATCTTGGTGGCCAGAATGTGGGAGAATCTGCTATTCTAAAGCAGCTTGTAGTTTTCTGATTTATTTTTTGAATGAAAACTGCTCTTTTGTTTTTGGGGAATCTCTTCACAATACTTGAGTGGTGTTCTTAGCCTGGCAAAAATAAAGGCCAACTCTTAAAGTGGAATGGGCATTTGGGACACAGATAAACTAAACTGCTCTGCATAATAATACCAACATTAGTCTTAAGTAAACTGGGAGTCCAGCCTGAAATGGATTGGGGTCAAGATGGAGTGGAAATTCTTTTCTATTAGTGGTTTGTAAAAGATGCTGAGAAGAGTGGAGAGATAATCTTGGGAAGGAGAGTCCTCCTGGGAGCCAGTGGGCTATATAGATGCTGTACTTGCGATAGCCACTTATAAATCTTCTAAACTTTGTAATTCTCCTATTACAATATTCTCAAACTTTCAGTAACAATCTTAGCTGTGTTTTAGGGAATTAAGGGAGGGGGCCTATGTCCACACTTAAGATTTGCTTCCATCATGTAGGAACTTCCTCCTGTCCCCAAGCCAGAGTGGTAGTAGCCACAGTTGGGGAGCTGGTGGTTCTGGAGTTCTAGAGGGTGGCTACCAGAATTCCGGAACACTAATTATTGAACAAAGGATGAGGCTCTAATGGGGAGTGCTTGTGCTGAAGTTAAAGCAAGTCTGGAAGTCAGGCCTTAACTGAATCACAGGTAAGGATCAGGTGCAGACTGGGAGGAATTTGTTGGATAAGAAAACCAGTGAAGATTCCCAGCACTGGGGGGTGGGGATTGGATTTTCTATCGCAGAGTAGGGTGGTACTTTTACTGTTGTTGATAATTAACCAGAAATGTGACTTCTAGATACCAGAGAGTAATTAACAGCACTCCCTGTCTGCCCAGGGGAGGAGACTAGTAGCTACTAGCAGGCCACACGTACCTTTTAATTCTTAAGCTTCTCTGAAGCTTTCCTGGAGTTCTGCCCTCTCCGTCTCCCCTGCTAGTGGTTTCCCTTTCTCTGGCACCTACTGTACTTTGCATACACCTTTATCACAGCAGCCAGTTGTCTTGTAATTTGTAGTCTTGTCTCTCCCAGTAGACCTCTAGGGCGGGTGACTGGCGCTGGTTCTCAGACCTCAGTTCAAATTCCAGCTATGCCATTATCTTTGTGAATTTAGGCAAAATATTTAATCGCCCTATGCCTCGATTTCCATTTTTATTAAAAATTGGCACAAGACTCTTCATTGCCTGCGGTTGCTGAGAGAAATGAAGGTGACAGTTCATGTCGAGTACAAGGTGTAATCAAATACGGAGATAGCATGGTAAACATTTGTCAATTAACCTGACCTACCTTTATTTTGCTTAATCAAACATTTACTGAGTACCTACTGTATTTCAGGCCCTCGGAGCGCTCCTTTCCTGGTGTAGAAGCCTCACATGTAGCCGGTGGGCCTTGTCCCGCGAGCCGTCTCAGGATTGGCTCCGCCAAAGGGAAAACCCCACCCAAATCCCTTTTCGGTCTCTTCAATGATTGGGCTGGGGCTGTGCTGCAGGAGGTGGGTCCTAGGCTGCGCATGCGCAGATTGAGGACGAAGATGCCTTCCGGTAGGGCGGGAGGGGGTGACGTCAAGAGCGGTGGCAGGCGGGGTCCTCCTGTAGCCCTGGGGACGTTGTATCTGTGGGCCTTCAGATCGCGTCACAAGTCGGCGACTGAACCTTGGCTGTGGTGGCTGAGGCGGCGAAGGCGGCGGCGGCGGCAGCGGCAGCGGCGGCGACAGCTCTGGGGTTTGTGTCTCGGGGTGTGTCGGCCGCCGCTGCTGCTTAGGCTTGGTATGTACAAATGGCTGGTTAGGATTCTCGGCACCATTTTTCGCTTCTGTGACCGGCCGGTGCCCCCTGCCCGGACCCTCCTGAAGAGGCGGCGCTCGAACAGGTGAGTGGAGCGGGGGCTGAGTGCGGGCCTGTTTGTCCCCGTTCCCCTCCCCCACCCTAGGCTCTGCTGAGATCGCTGATCCAGCCAGGCAGGCCCGGCTCAGCCTAAACTCAGCCCAAATGCGTAGCTGGGCCGCGGTGGTAGGGGTGCGGGTCGCGGTTGTCCCGGTGACGTAGTAGCTTCCTTCATCCTGTGCGGATGCTGCTCGTGATAATGGAAGGAGCTAGTTGTCTTCGGAGTGGCAGGTAATGGTTAGGATTTTTGATGTGCTTGTCAGAGTCCATGCTGCTTCCTGTCAATAAATGGGGCTTTATCATACTTTACCGCTCTTAGGTTGAAAACCAAAAATTTGCTTTGGCTCCCTGCTTACAAAGCGCACTCCCAAGTGTCATCTGTTGGCAGTAACTGCAGTTAAGGGAAATTAGATTGGTGGCTTGCCCAAAACCGTTTTGGCTGCAAATACTGTTCTCTTAGCACCGAGACAGTAGCTGTCTTGTTCTGAAACAGCTGTCAAACTGTGTGTGTGTGTTTGGGGAGAGAGGTAGGGAGAGTGGTTCTTTGCTTTATAATTAGTGTATGAAGGGAAAAAAAGGTACTTCATTCCTTTAAAAAGACCACTGTTCTATACTCAAAGTTAACATTTTTGGGGAACTAAAAGCAGTCCTTACTTAGCACTTACCCCTTGGTTTGTCCCGTTATTTCATGGTGTGAGCCCCCTTGCTTAAGAATTAATCTAGAGAATAAAATACCACACCAATTCTATACAGCGGTCTCCCTGCCCCCAGTTTTAGTGATCAAACTTACTTTCTTTTTTTAAAAAATTTTTATTGTGCCTCAAGATCGTTGAAGGGCAGTTTCTTGGGGTTTTGAGAGAATAAGATGATTAATATATGAATCTGAGAGTGCAGATTATTGATGAACTAGACTGTTGAACCCTGGCCGGGTGGCTCAGCTGGTTGGAGCATCCTCCCATACTCCCAAACTGGTGGGTTCCATTCCCGGTGGCGTGCCCCTCTCCCTCCCCGGCAAAATCAACATATTCTCCAGTGAAGATTAAAAAAAGAAGTAAAATGTTGATGTGTTCCAGAGAGATCAAGGTTTCACCTTATTCTTCCTTTCCACTTTTCTGTAAGGTTGTTATAAGGATCATTTGAGAACATTTTGTAATAGAATAATGCTTACCATATATGGATAGGATTTGTTTATTCTACCAAAAAGGCCTGTGCAGAGATTGGTGGGTGATAGGTACTTGATACATGTTTATTAAATAAAGGAATGTGAACTTTGTTTACCCCTGTCCTCTCTTTGCTACGAATCTCTGCTAGACAGGGAAGCAGTGGTTTGGGGATGAAAACCCAGTTCTTACCGCACAACCTTAACCTAAAACAACTCTTCTCAATGTAAGCCATTTTTCATTCAAAATGAAGCCAGGAGGTCTTATTGGGATGTTTAAAATAATGAATGGAATGGTATTCTCCTGGGATTTATTCTGTTCATTTTTTGTAAATAAGATCAATCACAATCATCTTTAGAAAGGTGATTATAGGTGGAGATTATCAAATTAGGACATCTGTAAAAGTGTCGACAATAAAAAAATAAAAGTAAAGATGATTTATAGTGTACCATGAACCTTTAACATTGTTGAGCTATACGTCCAATATCTTTTCTCAATTTTCAAATTCTTCACTACCACTGTTTCCAAAAAATGCAGTTATATATATAACAGCTTTTCTAGCTAAGAACGGTCTTTCAAGGGGTCATCCTTTTTCTAAAATTTTTATGTATTGATTTTTAGAGAGAGAGACATCAATTTTTTGTTTCACTTACTTATGCATTCATTGGTTGATTCCTCTATGTGCCCTGATCAGGGATTGAACCCACAACCTTGGTACGTCAGGGTGACTCTCTAACCAACTGGGCTACTTGGCCAGGGTTGTAGGGAGGATGTCATCTTTCAAAAGGAAATTATTTGTTGTTTTTAAACCATTTCTAGAGAGAAGAACCTAGGTTCTTACCTCTGTTCACTTACTAAGCCAAGTGATTTCTGGCCAGTTTCAAGTTTGTACTTTAGCCAGATTACAGATTACTATACAGTAGGGAGTTTTTGGCTTTTCTCAAATAGTTGAAATGATAGTGTGAAGTCGTACTATGGAGTAGTATTCTCTTTTAAAACATCAGTTTGATCTTGTGTGTGTATATGTGCATATATATACATTTTTTATCTCTCTTTTTAGCACTTCATTCTCTGCAGTGGACACTGATGAAATACCAGCCAAAAGACCAAGATTAGGTATTGAATATTAATTTTAAAAATTAGTATTTTAATATGAAAACTATATGCATGTAACAGAATTCAAAAGGTGAAAAGTATATGAAGTGAAAAATAAGTCTCTTTCCTGTCTCTCTTCTACTCAGTTATCTTTTCTGGAGGTAACCACTTTTACCAGGGGATTAAGTGTCTTTCTAGATAAGCCTTGAAGGTTGAATATATATTTTCTTAAAGCTCTTTTTTTTAAATATACATTCTAAAATTCTAAATCTTCCTATAAAGAAAAGTTGCTTTTTAAATTTGAGGAGGAAATATTGGTAAAACTACTTCAAACTGAATCATCTGGTTCAGATAGCTGAGAGAATCAATCTAATTAATGTGTTGCCCCATATTGTTTACTTCCTTTTTCCTTATAATCTGAAGGGCTAAACATCATTTGATAGAAAAGAATAAAATTATAGTAGAGGGAAGAGGCACAATGGGATTTTGTAATTATAATTTCCTCTTTCTCAAAAATGCATGTGAATTTGGATATACCTCCAGATATTGTAATAAGAGTGGACACATCTGTGTTAAGATTTCACTTAAATCTAATGACTAGTTACTGAGCATTGTCTTACTGCTAAGTACTGACTTAGGTTCTACAGGAAATAAAAAATGAGTAAGACAGGGTCTCTATTTTTAAAAACCTTATAATTACAAGGGTAAATGATTATATAGTGATGAATATAAGATAAGCATGTAAGTAATACCAGTGTCAATGAGAATATGATAATGAAATAAGAAAGGTAGTAACAAAATACTGTCCAATTTTGAGCTGGTTAAGAGTCTCAGTGAATATTTGATGAAGGAGCTAGTATGTGAGATGGATCTTGAAGGATGGATAGGGTATCAGCAGAGAGCAATAGGAAGGAAAAGCTTTCTAGGTAGAGTGAATAGGATTGGAAAGTTGTGCTATTCAGGCACTAGTGAAGAGAACTTAGGAAAAAAAGTTGGCAAGAGAGAGGTCAAATTATGGAAGACTTTGAGTGCCAGGAATATCCAGATTCATCAGGCCGATATTTCCCAAAGCACAGGATAAATAACAGCCAGGAAATGATTTAGGAGGTACAATGTTGGTAGTATTAGTAACATTTGAATTATGTTATGTACTAAGATAGTTGTAATCTTTTCAGTTGTTTTAAATTTCTGCTTATTTTAAGGAGAAAATCTTGATTGAATGCTTAGTTGGTCTTCAGTACTTGTATAGCGTGGTTGACCTTTGAACAACATGGGGGTTAGAGGAATTGACTGCCCCAGGAAGTCGAAAATCCACGTATAACTTTGGACTCCCCCACAATGCTTTAACCACTAATAGCCTTATGTTGGCTGGAAGCGTTACTGATAATTGATTAACATGTATTTTATAGTACATATTATATGCTGTACTGTATTCTTACAATAAGGTAAACTAGAGAAAAAATGATAAGAGAAAAATACATTCACAGTAATGAAAAAAATCTGAGAGTAAGTGGACCTGCACAGTTCAAACCTGTATTATTCAAGGGTCAGCTAGGATGTAATATGTTGTGTTTTCATTTCTTTCTTATTTTTTTCTTTTTTTTTAGCCTTCACCCGAGAACATTTTTCATTGCTTTTAGAGAGAGAGGGAGAGACACAGAGAGAGAAAAACATCAATATGAGAGAGAAACATTGATTGGTTGCCTCTTGTATATGCTGCGACCAGGGGACTCGAACCCACAACCTTTCGGTTTACAGGATGATGCTCCAACCAACTGAGCCACACAGGCTAGGGCAGTGTTTTCAAGGCAAATAACGCTGTTTTACATTCACAATAGTAATATAAAATTACCTTTCAATATCCAAAGAAACCCAAAACACTAATTTGAAAGAATATATGTACCCCCATGTTCATTGCAGCATTATTTACAATAGCCGAGATATGGAAGTAACCCATGTGCTCATCAATAGACAAGTGGATAAAAAAGCTGTGGTAAATATACACAATGGAATACTACCTGACCATAAAAAAGAATGAAATCTTACCATTTGTGACAGCATGGATGGACCTGGAGGGTATTGTGCTAAGTGAAATAAGTCAGACAAAGACATGCCATTTGATTTCACTTACGTGGACTCTAAAGAACAAAATACACAAAATAGAAACAGACTCATAGATACAGAGAAGCGACTGATTGTTGCCAGAGGGGAGGGAGATTAGGAGACTGGGTGAGAAAGGCGAAGGGATTAAGAAGTATAAATCGACCCTGGCCAGTGTGGCTCAGTTGGTTGAAGCATCGTTCCGTAGGCCGAAGGCACTTGACTGGGTTGTGGGTTTGGTCCCCAGACAGGGTGCTTGTGAGAAGCAAATGACTGATGTTTCTTTCTCACTCTCTTGCTCCCTTCCCCTCTCTAAGCAAGGACAAATTGGTAGTTACAGAATAGTCACAGAGATGTAAATTAAATTACAACATAAGGAATATGTATCTTAATAACTATATATGGGGTCAGGTGGTTACTTGAAATATCAGGGGATTAACTTTGTAAATTACATCCTTTTTTAACCACTATGTTGTACATGTGAGACTAATACAGAATGATATTGAATGTAAATTGTAATTGAAATTTTTAAAAAGTTGCCTTTAAAATACATTTGTTTAGCAAAAAAAAGTGAGTCAATTTTAAAGAAAAATATAATAACCATATGGGGTAAAAAAAATAATAACAGTGAAATTACAGAAGTTTCCTGAAATAATTCTGGCAATCGTCCATTTTATAGACTTCTGTGTTAAGGATCTCTTCTTCCTCCATGATTTCAATAAATAGAAACTATAGAAGGGGAGCTAAGCCAAGGGGGAAGCAGTGAGTAGCAGAGGTAATATTTACTGGCAAGTTTGTAAAGGTTTATAGCAGTGCTATGCAATAGAAGTATCTGTCATGATGGCTACTAAGCACTTGAAGTGGGGTTAGTGCGACAGGAACTGAATTTAATTTTAGTTAAATTGGAACTTTGGTAGCTCACATGTGGCTATAGGCTATTATATCAGGCAGTACAACTCTCTGTTGGTTGCTTTTGAGTGAAAGGTAAAAGGAAAGAAGGAGGGCCTTAGAATTTCAGGCTCATGAGTTATAAATGAAAGGGATTTTATGAGATCCACTTAGTCTCAGGAAAGTAAGATGGTCTCATCCTCATTTTACAGATGAGGCAGCCCCCTCCCTTTTTTTCCCAGTCGATGAGAACTTTTGACATTATCTTGGGCATACTCAGATTTTGACAAAATTTATAGGAAAGTAAGTAATATATTACTTTTTAGTGTCGACTATTTAACTGCGTTGTTGAGAGGAGTACGTCTTTTCCTCTGGGTTTGGATGACTGTGTGTGGGTTAACCTGTGGGTTAAGCACCAATCCCTAAAGCTGTTTTTCTCCCACGTAAAGCGCAACATTATTAGAGGGATAACCTGGAATTCTTTCTAATTCCTAAAATGAGAAACAGGTTATTTGCAAACTTTCATTCGTTTAACTATTCTCTAGTTACAAATTACTTCAAACTGGATTCTGCTTTACCCAGCTATCACATTCTCCCTGCTATTTAAGTTATTTCCCTATCTTTCTGGAAAGTATTTTGTCTTATATGTTCTGGAGCGCTTGTTGCTTAAAAGCCATCATTTCAACTTCAGGCTATTTTTCTCTAAAGCTGAATGTGGCTGAAGTGATGATCTTTTTCTCTTCAACTGGTGCTTTGGAATACCCTTAATTAGGACATAGGTTGGAAATTGTAGAAAATAAATCATCAGTGTAGGAAGTAAGATAAAGGGAGGCAGTTGGGAAAACACTGACATTTACCCCTCCCTCATGTTTATTTACTTATTTTTTTAAAAGATTTTATTTATTTACTTCAGAGAGAGGGGAAGGGATGAAGAAAGAGGGAGGGAAACATCAATGTGTGAAAGATACATCAGTCAGTTTCCTCTCACACACCCCCAGTTGGGGACCTGGCCCAAAACCCAGGCATGTGCCCTGACTGGGAATCAAACTGGCAACCTTTCAGTTCACAGGCCAGTGCTCAAACCACTGAGCATCACCATCCAGGGCTATTTACCTATTTTGTAAACTTCATATTTGATTGGCAGGGGTGAGTCTGAAATCTACCAACATATCTCCAGTAGAGGGATAGCTTTGTTTTATCATAGATGTTTAAAAATTGTATATCTTAATACTTCATTAATTTCTATGCTGGGTGTAGCCAAGATACAATAGGCACATAGTAAGTAGTCGTTTAGGACAACTGTGTTGTTACCTGTCCAGGAAGTAAGGACAAGCCAGTGAGTAAAAAGTAGTTCCTGTCGGAGTCTGCCATATGTAGTAACAATAAGCTCCAGTTGTTAAGTTATGCCCCTGTCTCTTGGGTATAAATTTCTTTTTATATATTCAGGAGAACTCATTGCTTGAAAGTTGTGGTTTCAGGACTTTTATGTGCATGAATCAGTGTGTGATTTGTTAAAGTGATGGTTTCATGTTTTTGTAGCATCACAAATATATATATATATATATATATATATATATATATATATATATTTTTTTTTTTTTTTTTTAAACCAAAGATCACAGTGCTGGGCCCTGGCTGGTGTGGCTCAATGAACTGAGTGCCGGCCTGCGAACCAAGAGGCTGCCAGTTCTATTCCCAGTCAGGGCACATGCCTGGGTTGTGGGCCAGGTCCCCGATAGGGGGTGCACAGGAGGCAACCACACATTGATTTTCTTTCCCTCTCTTTCTCCCTCCCTCCCCATCTCTAGATATAAATAAATAAAATCTTTTTTTAAAATCACAATACTGGAATTCTATTTATCTAAGTAGGAAAAAGCACTTTTTCACAGATACCTTTTTATTTCAATGATTAAAAATAGGACCCCTAATAAAAATTGAAGGACCTTTTTAAGATACAATCTTATTGTTTGCCAGAAGTTTAATACTTTGTATTTATATGTATATGTAATTTGTGTATGATCTATATTATACTTTCTAGATTGCTTTATACACCAAGTGAAAAACAGCCTCTACAATGCAGCCAGCTTATTTGGATTCCCACTCAAGCTGACCACAAAGCCCATGGTAACTTCTGCTTGTAACGGAACACGGAATGCAGCCCCTTCAGGAGAGGTCAGTGGGGCTAGGGCCTCATTAGGCTTACTGATTTTTGTACTTAATCATTAAAATTAAATTTGGGAAGTGTTCTCATTTTAGGAATTAATGTGTAGAATGACTTCTTTCCAGAAATGTTCATGTCTTTATTAGTCTTGATATAAAGGCCCAAATGTTAGAAGTTAAGAAATTACATATTTAAAAAATATTTATAAAGAGCCGAATTACTAAATAATAGGTATGCTTGGAGACCCCAGAATTGTAACATTTTGTAAGTCATTGCAAATTAAACCTCTGGTTTTATGATATTTCTTATGTGAGCTAGCTAAATAATCACGATAGAATAATTTTTTTCATATTAGAAACAAATTATAAAATTATATTCTACAGAGATCATTCTATTTGATTTTAAGGTATTTTCGAACTCTTCATCTTGTGAACTGACAGGTTCCGGATCCTGGAACAACATGCTGAAACTGGGTGAGGTGGTCAGAAATATTTGTTTCCCTCAACTCCTCCTGCCTCTCTTTTCTGAGTTTTGAGAATATGAAAGGAAAGCACTTATTTGGGTTGGGGTGAGAACATAGACCTTCTCTATCATTCTAAAAAAGAAATAGCTTTCCTTTAGAATTGTCTTTGAATTTACTGTGTTTTCTACTTGTATTATCAGTGTCCTTAATGTGATCAAGTTCCATTCATTAAAAAACAAAACAAAAAACACAAACATTCCCTGAGAGCTTACTGTGTGCCAGGCACTGTGCTAAATTATCAGGAATAATAAAATAATAAAACCTTTAATAACAAAACAAATAGCAATAGTAAAAACAGTAAAACTCTACCTTTGAAGGACATCATCTGATTGAGGACAAACCTTACATTCTCAGTTCTCGTGGTTTTATGGATTAGAGATTTATGGAACCTCTGTGTCACCCAGACCCTGAAGTTTAATGGTAATTATTGAATGTACTGTACACGATGCTGTGGTGGCAGGAAATAGGAAGAAGTCAAGAGTCCTGAAAATGGTGTGATCTCTGCCAGGCAGGTGGGTTTGTAAAGTTTGAGAGGAAGGGGAAAAAGCTTTTAGAGAAGTTGTGGGTTCAGAAGTCGAAAGTGGAAGAAGCTAAGGAACTGATAAAACAAACAAACTTTTGCAGTAAAGTACCTCTGGTGACAGAGAGGAGAAAAGGAAAGTAAATGGGTATCCCTAAGTCTGAAAATCTAGTTCCAAGGGATCTGGGGTGAAGATGACACTTCTTTGAAGTCTTTAATCTTATTTAAAAAATCAATACAAATTAAATTTCATAATCTGTTCATATTGTTTGAATGTTTAAAATTATTTACCATTAAAATTGACATATGGAAGGGATGGTAGATTTATCTTGTGCCCGAGGTACCAGCACTATATTTCTGTGAGTTTGTATAGCCTAGTGAAAGAAACACAGTTATTTCTAGAGCAGGTTTCTTATAGAAAGAAGTCCACAGTCTCTTATCTGAAACCTTTAGAAATGTGGTTGGGGATTCTGAATTTATCCTATTTTAGATATATTGTGTTTATTGAATATTATTTCCAGAAAATCCATTGAGATTGAACATCAGTTCAAGTCAGGTTTTGCAAACAAATGAATTCAGGTTAGTTTAGGTTTTGCTGCTTTGCATTTTGGAGTCCTCAGGGACTCCAAGCCCCTGTAAATGGCTCCAGCAGAAAATGTGGCTGATGAAAATTTGGTTACTGTTTTTTGAAGTATAGTAGCCATCTGACAAGTATTAGAAGCTTCCGACGAACTGCTAGTAACATATGGCAGGTTTTCATTTAAAAATACTTCTGTTTTCTTGGGAAGAAGGAATAATTTGACAAACCCACTCAACTTGATTAGCTTATACGGGGTTTGTAATCATTGAGTTTTTCATGCTTCTTATTGGTCCCAGCAAGCAAAACTAAAAAAGTTTGCATATGATTTATCTGAGATCAAAGACAAACTAAGCACTATTGCTTTTCCTTTAACTTTACAAAGTTTGTACTGGACCTCTGTGCTATAAAGTAATATAATTTGAAAAAATAAGACATGTAGTTCTACAATATAGACTGACATACAGTTTTTTTTCCCTAATGCAGATTGTTCATGAGTGTTTTGTTTTTATTTACTTCTTTACAATTATAAATGCATTTTTAAAATAGGTAATAAATCTCCTAATGGAATAAGTGACTATCCAAAGATCAGAGTGACAGTAACTCGCGATCAGCCTCGTAGAGTCCTGCCTTCCTTTAGGTAAGTGTTAAATTCTGCCTTCTTTAAATGGAAACTTAGCGCTTATTACGTGCTCCCTCTTGCTAGCTAGGCATTCTTACTTTTATTCTATTATGTAATCTTGTTAAGTAAGTGCTCTGAGGTTTGTGGCTTACTGAGTATCATACAGCTAGTGAGAAACTTGAACTTGTTACTTTTTCTGCCATTTTATATGCCCATAGCATCTGATTTTTAAAACCTTTTGAAAGAGAATTGTCATTTACTTCTAAACTGTTTAAAAAGTATAATATGTGTGCAGAACCGTGCAGAAATCATGTGTCTACCCTGATGAATTTTCATTCACTGAACTGTTCTTACTTTATTAGTAATTTTCTTCTCCTTTTTGTGTTTTCACTTTCTAGAATTTCTACTGCTTAGATATTAGACCTTTTGCATTGACCTAATTTTTAAACATATTCTCTTTTTGTTGTTGCCCTTGCCCTTTAAAAAAAATCTTCTTCTGATTTTTTGGGAGGGGGCGGTTGCTTCATAGCTTTTAAGTTATAAGCATCCTCCTACTCCCTACTCCCCATGGTTTTTCTTTCTCCAAGCATCTTGTTCTTTTTGTAAGGATGCAATGTCTTTTCTTATTTCTGTAAAGTTGTTAATTATTTAAAATTTCTTCTCTGCTTTGTCTGCTTCCTCTGAATGTCCTCCCCCCTTTGGTTTATGTTTGGTCTTATCTTTCATGTTAGAGTCTTTATTCAAATACCTTGGCTCTCCACTCATATTTAAGGATGGGACACTAACTAAAAACTAGGGTTCTCTGGAGTTGGATAAATGGTTGATTGTACAGTTAGGCAAGAAAGTACCAAATAAGTTGGGAACATCCTGTGCCAGAAATTAAAGGAGTGCTCAGAAACTGGGAACATGTCAACATGACACAGGAGGAAACTTGAACGGGCTTTCACTGGCCAAATAGGGGACAGTTTAAGCATTAAAATGAATAAAGACAGGAATATAAATACTAATAAGTGTGTATTGTGGAATGGAAAGACCTTTATAGTAGGATGTCACTAGTAAGTGTAGAGGGGATGATAGAAATAGAAAATCACCATTTTGTCAATATTATAGTAATAATTGATACATACAGGAACTAATTGAACTCATTAGTAAGTAAAAGTTTGATGAGATGGGGGTATTTACATAAACTCAAAATATCTCCCCAAAAATTAGTTGTTAATTACAAAGGGAAAGATAGTAACTATAGGGTAAAGAAACCTGCTTGACACCCCCTTAACCAAAGGAACAAAGTTTAAGGCAGCCTATAGTGAGACAAATGAACATTGTGACCTCCAAATATATTGCACTGAAGAGGACATCATCAGTTAATTCATATTCCTGCAAAAGTCAATAATCTGAATCTAAGAATGAGAAAACTGATTAAGGCCTGTATTCTTCATTATAAAGATGGGGAAAGGCTGAAAACCAGTTTCAGTTCAAAGGAGACTAAAGATACATGACAACTAAATGCAGCATAAGCTCCTGCACTGGACTCAAAATAGGGAAAAATTGCTATGAAAGATATTTTTAATATCTTTGGAGAAACTTAAATATGGCCTACATGTTACATACTGTATTATTGCTAAAGTTCCTGCTCTTGGTGATTGTACTGTGGTTATGCAAAAGATGCCCTTGTTTTTGCGAGATACATATTCAAATACTTGGAGGTGAACTTCCCTAAGCATCTAATGCTGTAATTGTTTCTATAAGCATTGCTTTAGCTGCATCCCACACATTTTGAAATACTGGTTTTAATTTTCATTCAATTTAAAAATATTTTCTAATTTCTGTTTTACTTCATTTTAACCAGTGATTCTGAAGTATAGGAGTCTGTTGATTAATATACAAAAATTTGGGACTTTCCAGATATCTTTCTGTTATTTAGTTTAATTCCATTATGGTCAGAGAATATACTTGGTATGTTTTTGGTTCTTTTAAATTCTAACATATTTCATGGCTTAGAATATGGTTTTTTATGGGTGATATGCATTGTGTACTTTTGCTGAGTTGAGTGTTCTATAAATGTCAGCTCAAGTTTGCTGATATTTTACAGGTCATAGTGGTTTTCTGTCTACTTTTTTATTGATTAATGAGCAAGGAGTATTGGTGTTTCCTACTGTAATGGTGGGCTTGTTTATTTTTTTTACCCAGTTGTATCAGTTTTTACTTTGTGTATTTTATTTACTTGACCCAGAATCACCAGTTGTTATCATTTTGCCAGTTTCTTTCTCACTTTCTGTCATATATACATAATTTTTTTCCTGAACCATTTGAGAGTCTTAGACTTATGACATTTTAATTATAAATACTTGAGTGTGTTTGCATTTATTTCTTAAGAATGAAGATATTTACTTACGGAGTCATAGATTACAAAAATCAGAAAATTTAATATAATGCTATTATATAATCTTACTTAAATTTATCCATAATAATGATTACTATTTTTTCTGGTCCACAATTTGGTGCAGGATCATTTATTACATTTAATTTTCATGTTTTATTAATCTCCTTTAATCTGGAACAACTCCTCAGACTTTGTTTTAATAGCATGTATATTTTTAAACAGTACAGGATAGGGGAAAAGTAGGTGTACAGTTGTTCTTATGAAAAATAATGATTAAATTAATAATTAATTATACAAGAATAAACTCTTGTGTTTCACATACTCAAACTATAAATTTACTTTTGCCCTACCCTATATAAAACATTTGTAAAATGTTCTTTAATTTGGCTGATATTTATTCATTATTTATTTTAGATTAGAAAGCTTTTTTTTAAAGGATTTTATTTTTATTTATTTTTAGAGAGAGGAGAAGGGAGGGAGAAAGAGAGGGAGAGAAACATCAATCAGTTGCCCCTCACATGCCTCCAGCTAGGGACCTGCCTACAACCCAGTCATGTGCCCTGACTGGGGATTGAACCAGCGACATTTCAGTTCACGGGCTGGTACTCAGTCCATTGAGCTACACCAGCCAGGGCTGGATTATGCAACTCTTTTTGTAAAAATATTATATACATGGTGTATCCTTTTTAAAACATCACTCCAGAAGGATATGATGTCAGTTTGTTCCATTATTGGTAATGGCAGGGGAGGCAGGCTCTTTCACCAGTTAACAATGACGAGATGGAGCTTCATGACTTTGATTTCTTGAGCATTTACTAATTTATATTAATTAATTTAGCATTCAGCAGATATTGAGTGCCTTTCTACTTAGGTCATGTTCTAGGATACAGTGATAAAAGGATATAATCCCTGTCTTCATGGAATTCAGTTTGGGGTGGGATATAGGCATTAATCACATCAATAATTAATTCCAGTGATGCCAAGTGAGTAAAGGAAAAGTGCAGCACGAGAGGAGGGTATGTGTCATAGGGGAGCTAATTCCAGAGCTGGAGTTGGAAAGTTGAGCTGGATGAAGAAGGCATAGGCTTTCATGTGGCAGCCCTGGTGGCTGGAAACAGACGGTCAGTCTGTGGCCATACCACCCTGAACGTGCCCGATCTCATTTAGAAACAGGCGTTCCATAGTGCAGTACTGGGGTGCCCTCTTCTCTAGAGATACATCTAGCTTTTGTGAATACTAGTTGTCTGATTTGCCAGGAGCAAGCTTAGTCTGGGAAGCCTAATCACAGAATGGTCTGATGCTTAGATTCCAGCAATTTAAGTAGTTTGGTGATAAATTAAAAAATTCTTCTCTGTCTTTCAGTTTTACTTTGAACTCAGAAGGCTATAATAGAAGACCAGGTGGCCGCCGCCATAGCAGAGGCAATCCAGAGAGTTCTTTAATGTGGAAACCTCAGGAACAGGTTTCAGCAGAGATGATTACTGAAGAAGGCGGCAAGGGTCTGAGGCGTCCCCATTGTACTGTGGAGGAGGTAAGCCCTTTTAACTGGATCTCTTTTCAAAACTATTTTATGAATTTCTTGGGGGATAAGTAATATATGTACTATAGTACAAAACCTAAAAGGTATAAAAGGATGTACAGTGACTATAAACTTGCCAGTCTCACTTCTGTACCTGGTCTTACCACCCTGTTTGACTCTGAAACTTGTATGTATCCTTCTAGAGATGTTCTATATACATGTAATTTAGTCAATTTCCAGAATATTTTCACTATAAGAAAGAAAAAGGATAAGACTATAGATTCTTTTTGGGTGCCTGAATTGTTCTAACTTGTCAGTTACTTTTATAAACTGTAGTATCTAACTAAATAAGAGGAGTCAGATGGTGCACATGTCTGCTCTTTCTTTCCCTTTTTAGGGCACTTAGCATATCTTCATCAACAAGCTTCTCTTCACTTCCCTCCTGAAGTCTTCACTTAGTCCAGGAGCATTTAGAATTAATCCTGTATCTGTCATTCCCCAGGATCATCACCTATGGTTTTCTGAGCCACTAGGTTTGCTCATCTTAGAAATGCTTCCTTGGGTGCCCATTGTCAGCAGTTTGAATTGAATAAAATATGGTTCTGTCCTCTAGGGTCTCCTGTATAAATAGTTGCACTGAACAAACAGGTAGGCAGAGAGAGGAATGGACTGCAGCACTGGAGAGGTTTTAAGGAGAGGTGTCATAAAGTAGGCTTTGGTACCTCTTAGATGAGAAATAAGAGACGAGACAGCACATAAAGGGTATACACAGGATATACTCTAGAAATATTAAAAGGTGATATTAGCAAGGACAGAGTCATTGTTTAAGTATAATTTAAAGTTAGCAGGAAGAGCCTGAGTCCCAGGTTTCAGTCTTGGATAAATACATGCCGCTGTCTAAGATATCCTGGATGTTTAGCGGGAAGTAAGTGACTTCAGTTTGGACATTGTTTAAAGTGCCTGTGAGACATACAAAGTGACCTGGCCTATAGTTTTGAGAATAAGGTAGGGTTAGTGAAACATTCCTGAATCTTCTGCTTATTGGTATTCTATAAATCAAGGGAGCTGAAATATTAGTCAGGGAGACAGTGTAGCATAAGAAGAGATAATGGGCAGGACCATTGGCATTTTGGGCAGGTAGAAGAAGAAATAATCTGCAGTGGAGACTGAGACGATAAAAAGGAATCAGGAGAGTGTATTGTCCAGGAAAGTAAGGAGCAGTCTTCGGGGTGAGGTGCTGAAGAGAGAGGTCAAGTAATACAAGGGCTGAACAAGTATCTGTTGCATCTGGTCGCACAACATCATTGTTGATTTTGGCTAGATCAGTTACATTATGGAAGCTCTGAACATGCAAGTGGATTATTTATGCTGAGTTGTTTTGTGGTTAACCTAGTTCTTCTGTGAAGCACTCAGATGCCATCAAGGTCTAGGGGATAATGTAAATGAGTGAGGTGGGCTGGAGTGAGTGGCCCGTCTAAAGGAATTAGCCCTACCTAGCTCTAGGTTGTTGATGCAGTTTTTCAAAAGAGGCCAGATTTTTGGAATTTTCTTTTCAGTTTATAAAAGTAGTAATCAATTTAAGGAAGTTTTAAAAGCACTCTGCTAACAAATGAAACCCATCTATGACCTATTAAGTCTTTGCCTATTATTTAATTCTGTTTAGTGTGCTAGAAGTTACCCAACATGCTTTCTTTTATTTAGGGTGTTCAAAAAGAGGAAAGAGAGAAGTACCGAAAGTTACTGGAACGACTTAAGGAAGGTGTTCATGGAAACCCTGTTCCTCCTATAACGTCACCCCATCATAGGTAAAGATGAGCTAACAACATCGGTGCTTTGTCAGACATATATTTTGTTGTTTTTGGAGAGAAAATTGGTAGGAAAGGTTTTGTGGGAAAAAAGAGATTAACATTGAGAGAACAAGCTTTGTAATTTGTCTGAACAAATTGTATCTAGTAATGGATTACATAAAATAGTGCTTATACAAAATACAATTTTCTGCTGGCTTTCAAATTCTTTGTTCAAATGTACTCTTACTTGAAACCGATATAGAAAAATGAAATCACTGGTTGAAATCAGAAAACAGTTTTTTCAGCCTCTCCAATATATACATTTCCCATAACCTCTGTCTCTCTCTGCCTCTCCTTCTCCCTCTTCTCCTCTGCTGCTTGCTCCTCCTTCCCTCCTTCCCTCCTTCCCAGTCTCTCCACCCCCGCCCCCGCCCTCCTTCTATGTACACTTAAGTTCCTGAGGCATCTTAGTGGATGCATCTTAGCACAATTGGAAACCCCTCCATTTTGGAAGATAAGATTAAAGTCATCCAGGTCATAAGAAGTTATTCTTATAAGATTCCTTGTTAATTAAATACTCTAGTGATTTTAGCAAATAGATGAGAATGACAGAGGAGTTGATGCCTGCCCTTATATTCACTTGTAAAAAGAGAACAAAAAAAATATGTGAGTTCAGGATTGAGGTACACTTGATTATTTTAACAAGTGAGAATACACAGAGTGGTGTCCCAGAAATTATGTAACAAAGTTGAAGGTGAAAAAGTCACAAGACTATATAGCTAGTTGAGTGCAGAAATAACAAAGGAATACTTGTCTGGGAATTTTAATTTTGGTTGTGAACTTTTAAAATTTTAATTACCTTAGTTGAAGTCAGAATGCTAGTATTTTCTCCATTTTGAATAGCCACTGTTGAAAGCAGCAGTGTGCTTCATGAACTCTTGGTTTTATCATGTCAACCTATTTTGCTTTTTACATTCCTGCTTTTAATGGGTTGTTTAAGGATCCATTTCAGTGTATTTTGTAAAATTTTCCATCTTTTAATCTGAGTTTTATCACACAAGATCTTTTAGTCAAGGTGTTGCTGGGGATTGAGAACATGCAGTTTTACAAATAGAACAACTGGAGGTTAGTAACTTGGCTGAAATACTAGAATCAGGATTAGACTCCTTTTATCCTAGTCCCAGTTGGTGCTGTGTTACATCCTCATAATTTTTTTTTAAAGATTTTATTTATTTATTTTTAGAGAGAGGGGAAGGGAGGGAGAAACAGAGGGAGAGAAACATCAGTGTGAGAGAGAAACATCGGCGCCCAACCAACTGAGCCACACTGGTCAGGGCGCATCCTCTCGTAATCTGATGATTCAGGATAATCAATAACTCCTGTTTGGAGAAACTTGTCAGAGATAATGAGAATTTATGGTAGATTTTTCTTTTGTATCTGAACGTCTTCACTTTTTGTGTTTCTAAGTTCTCAAAGATGTCACATGGATACATTAAAGACCAAAGGCTGGGGGGAAGATCAGAGTCATGGAATCAGAACAACTCAGTTTGTTCCAAAACAATGTGAGTTTCCAGATTTAGCCCTATCTTAATATACTGAACTTAGTTCATGTGCGTATGAAATTGAAAAATGACATACTTGTGAAAGACGGTATACCAAACCTTAAAACTTTATCAGATCCCAGGGCATTGACTAGTTTATCCAGTATTTCAAGATGAAGGAGATTTATAAAATATCTCTTGATTATTATAAAATACCTCCTAGCCTCTATGTATAATAGTACATATTTTGTAAGCCTAAAATTAATTTCTTTATATTTCTTATATTAATTTCCTTGTATTTATCCACTTGTTGTCCACTAAATGGTAGTTTACCAGATGAGCAGATACCAGTTGGTTTACACTAAAGATTATATTTAAAGAAGAAAGCAATTTACATGTTTTTAAGCAACTTGATTTGTAAGGAAGCTAGTGTTTGGAAATTATTCTAACCTTTCAATGTAAGTCAATGTCTTGATACTTTGGAGACTAAGTTGAAATTCTAGCTACATATCGGTTAATAAAGAAGAGACTTAATTTTTTCTTTACTGTCCTCACAGATAGAATTGTTGAAACAAGGGGGCCTCTATGTCCAATAAGGAGTGAAAAGAGGTACATGGTTCAGTTTATTCTGTTTTCTTTTGACATTATTTTCTTATTTTATAAACTATATTTCTGAGTAACTGTGTCTAAGGAACTGTGAACCGTCCTCAACTCTGGTAGCTGGTCAGCACATGCGGGTACATAGGTGGCTTTTGTGTCAGATACCTACCGTAACTTTGGAGATGCTTTTGTCTCCTAGGCATCGGGAGCGGGGAGGTGCAGGTGCCATTTAGAAAAGTGTGGATTTGGTGGGCATCTCTGGTATGTGATCAGTGAAGGCAGTTCTACATGCCTTGGGATTCGGGATGATAGTTCATTTATAACACAGAGTGGTAAAGTATGGCTCATGGGCCACATCTGGTCCACCTGACTTTTTTTTTAACTAAAGTTTTATTGGAACAAAGTCATGCCCATTCACTCACTTACTGTTCATGGCTACTTTTAAACTCTAATGGAAGTTGAGAAGATGTAACAAACCATAGGACATGCATATCTGATCATTTTTGGAAAAATTTTGCTGACCCTTGGTTTAGAGAACTATATTAAACTCAAGACAATTTTTGTTTACAAATTATTATATCTTATTTCTACAACTAGTCTATCATGTACCAGGTTAAAATCATCCAGTCTGTAATCTCTCTATTTTTTTTCCTCAGGTGTTCAAAGGGGAAGATTTTGGATACAGAGAAGACAGTTGGAATCAGACTTGAAAATGAAGGTGTAAGTACAAACTCTAGCTATTTTTTATATCTTTTTACCCTTTCGCTTGACTTACTATTAATATTTTGGTGCCCAGGAAAAATAAGAAAGATGATATGTTAATTTGATTTCTAAGTCTGTTTTCTTTGCAAAAGCAGGCATTGAAGATACACGGCTTTAGCTTCCTTCTGAGTTGCTGGAGTTTTGTCTCTCTGTTATAGACACCTTGTTTGTAAGAGAGATCAGTTTGTCTCCATCTCTGCCCTTATGTGCGCTGCCTGGCTTCTTTTAGAAAATATTTTAAGACCATACATCTCTAGGAGAGATATATGCTCAGAACTTTATTTTCAGAGTCAATATTTTATATTTACTTGAAAATACTATCAATCTTATGCTTAATTAGTTTTGTATCTATTAAGTATTAGAATAAGAAATGTTCCAGCCATGACTGGTGTAGCTTAGTGGGTTGGGCATTGTTTTGCATTCAGAAAGGTCGCCTGTCAAGGTACATGCCTGGGTTTCTGGCCAGGTCACTGATTGGGGGCGTGTGAGGGGCAACTCATTGATGTTTCTCTCCCTCTCTTTCTCCCTCATTTCCCCCCTTTCTAAAAAAATAAATAAGTAAAATCTTTTAAAAAAGAGAAGTATTCCAAAGATTTCCATAGCAATACCAACATTTTTAATAATAATGGCATAACCAAAAGAAATACATTCCTAAATTAAATGCAGACATGAAGTATTTCATATCTTAGATTATTTTATGTCTTAGCTACATACAAATACTAAAGTGTAGGGGATTGCTTTGTGTTAAGTCCCATATCAGTTTGATCAAATTTCTCTTCTCCCATTAGATTTGTTCATAGGAATTAGTCTTAAGACTAAGTCATAGTCTTAAGCCATGGTCTTAAGTCATAAGTCTTAGAAATTACCTTCTCTAATTTTCCCATTTGCAGTGATTCAGAATGAAGCTTTTTGTGTTTAATTATCATTTATTAGCTGTGGAACAAAAATTGAAAGGGGGGGGCTAAGCCTGAGAGAGGATCGATGGGGGTGGGGGTGGGGGTGGTAATGATTGTAATAATTTGTTACCTGGCTGAAGACTACATCCTGCATCTACCTCTGCTGAACCTGAAGGCTTACTGTCTGTGACCATAGGAAGGGCCAGCAGCTGCTGGTTTCCTAGGACTGGTATACGTGGCAGTTAGCTAGAGTGAAGAGTATTGCCCAAGGGTGTGGAAAGAGTGGTTCTAGTCTAAAACATCCTTTCTGAATAAATTTCCTAAGTTTAAAATACTTTGCCTACCAGATTAAATTCAGTATTAAGGGTTACACAGGGTCATGATAAGGAAGGATCTTATCAAAGTTTCTGGAATGCTGGCAGGATTCTACTTGTTGACCTGAATGGTGATTACATTGGTGTTAATTATGAAATTTATATTTTGTGCATTTTTCTATAATTTAAAATTTGCTTTTTTAAAAAAAGATGAAGTAGAACAAGTTTACTTAGTATAAGGATAGCTGTGGTTTATTCTGAGTGATGGGATTTGGGTTACATTTTTGCTTTTAAAACTTTAAAATTTTTTTAACTAAATTTTTAAAAATGCAGATAAGAGAACTGAAAATACTTTTCCTGTTTACCTTCATGCAAAATTATGTGTATTGTTTTTCGCAGCTTGTAATTGAGGTGTCGTGTGAGTCTTAGGAACAAATATGCTAAATCTACTCATTTGTGGATTTGCTAATTATCTATTCTTTCAAGATAATGTCACTGTTTTATATTTTATGTGTTATATATGTTTATATGTACAAGTATTAAACAAGTCAATAGAATGTAGAAACTTTCTTGATTAGCGGCGAGGACACCAGCTGGAACCTGACCTATCCGAAGAAGTGTCTGCCCGACTCCGCCTGGGCAGTGGAAGCAATGGCTTATTCAGGAGGAAAATGTCAATACTTGAGACAAAAGAAAAAAACTGCTCAAGCAAAGAGAGGGATAAAAAAACGGATGATCTTCTTGAACTTACCGAGGTATTGTTTCTTATTTTGGTCAGAATAAGACATGATTTTAAATAGCCTTAGTTATTCAAGACTTGAGTGACAGTATTGAAGAGTTTCTCCAGGCCAGGAATAAATGTATAAAAGAAATCAGGCCTAAGGGCTATTCAGTCACTGTGCTGCGTTGATCATTATGATCTGTGAAGGTGGCCTAAGGGATCAGATTGCCATTTAACAAATGTGGGTAGACATAATGTCACATATCCTGGAGTATAATGTATTCTTTGTAGGGTCTTTTTCTAACCTTAGAATATTTTGGGTTACATAGTATGGGTTTGGCATGAAGAATGAGTTCATTGCAGTTTTAAGTGATTGTGGTTTATTAAAATTCTCCTTTTGTTGATTATTGCATTTAAAAATAGTAAAAACTTAGAGAAAACAATAAAACGAAGGTAGTTAAAAACTCATTTTGAAGGTGAGCTGATATCTTGGCTCCTTCGTCATTGTTGTCTTAGTAGGTGGTAGTCAGTCCTGTTCAGTGAATCTTTCTCTTTTTTAAAAAAGATTTTATTTATTTATTTTTAGAGAGGGGAAGGGAGGGGGTTAAAGTGGCTGCCTCTTGCATGTGCCCCAGCCAGGCATGTGCCCTGGCCAGGAATCAAACCTTTCACTTTGTGGGATGATGCTCAGTCAGCTAAGCCACACTGGTCAGGGCTCTCTTGTTTATTTATTTTTTAAAAATTTTTATTTATTGACTTGAGAGAGAGAGGAAAACTAGCGGGGGGGTGGTGGTTGGGGGAGAAAGAAAGAGGAACATCAATTTGTTGTTCCACTTACTTATGCATCACTGGTTGATTCTTATATGTGCTGCTGACTGGAGCTCGAACGTGCAATCCTGGCGTACTGGGGGGATGCTCTAACCAACTGAGCTACCTGGCCAGGGCCAGTGAGTATCCCTTGAGCACTTGTTATATATTGAGCATGCAGGTGGACAGAGTAAGCCATAAAATCACAAAATTGTATGCATTTGGGAGGAAGCAATATTAACATTTGGCTGAAATAATTTCTATTGGGTTTATAGATTCAACTGGGTAGCTTAAATATGCATTTATCTGCATAATTCTTTAGATGAAGCCATCTATTCAGTAAGGACTCAGTTATTAGACTGCTGTCTAGTTTTCCAGTTAATTGTCTGTTCACTTACTCTCATGTTCAAAATGGATAATATGATTTCTTAGGTGTCATAATTTTATTATTTTGATGTGTTTAAATAAAAGTTTAGGAGGAAAATAAGGAGGGTATGAAGATACTTTTGATAAAGTATTTTCAAAGGAACAAAGGCTAGTAAGTTAGACACTCCGGGGTTCAAGTCTTGGCTCTGCCTTGTAATAATTTATGACTTTGAGTATGTAGCCTAAATTCTCTGAGCATTACCTCTTCTATAAAATGGTGATGTTTCCCCCACAAAGATTAGTGATGTACTTCAGGCATCTGGCACCATGTTTGGCTCATAGTGGTCAATAAATGTTAGCAGGATAATTGAGACTATACCTTAAATGTAAATATTACTACCAAATTATTATTTTCAGAAGCTAATAATTTAGCATTTTGTATAACCCTTAGTAAGACTGCTTTGTAGTCTAAGTTTAAATCTTTTCATACTTCTAATTCAGTATGTCTTTGATAGTGTATTTTTCTCAAGGGTCAGGTGTTACAGAGTTGAAATTGGCTTTTTACAAAGCCTCAGACTTTCAGTGCCTGATAGTGGTTTTATATTAAAGTAGCAATCTCTGAACTTTCTAATTCAGGACATGGAAAAGGAAATCAGTAATGCGTTAGGTCATGGCCCACAGGATGAGATCCTAAGTAGTGCTTTCAAATTGCGAATCACTCGAGGAGATATCCAGACCTTGAGGAACTATCACTGGCTCAATGATGAAGTAAGTTTTCTCTCCCCGCTTTAATGTCATTATGCTTAACTATCTACCGTCCATACCAAAGTGATATTTAACCATAAGTGGCGGGTAAAGCAGCTTTTGTTTTATCCAAAAACAAAACATCTTGAACCTTAGAAAGACTTAATTCTGATTGTTTGCTGCCTTTAATTAGCATTGTTTTCGTCTTGTGCATCTGCGGTTCATTTCATCCACCACTTCTTTTACTAATCTTCAATGACATTTTTATAAACCCTGGATACAGCTGATAAATGGAAGAAAGCAGCAATTTGTTTTAGACAAATTCTTATAGAAGCTGTTTTATTTTTTAAAATAAAGGGATATGTTAATCACTATATGAATACTGTATGTCTTTTTGTTTATTTCATTTGAGTGAAAACTGCAAAAATTTGCATAATTCTAATCTTGTATCCTTACATATTTAGCTAAAGCTAGCTTTTAGTTCCTGCCGATTTTCCAACTGGTCCTTTACCCAACTGCTCAGTCACTGCCTTTTCTTTCTTTGCCTTCCTTCCTGCTCCCACTGTCACTAGCGACATATAAACACATTCTTAGAAAACTAGTATGTAAGTGTAATGTATCTACTATGTAAAATTTAGAAAGTATGGGAAAAATTAAAGAATTGTTCAAAAGTTCTACCACTAAATTAATAAAATATTAATGTTTTGATATTTTTCCTTCCAGTTAACCTTTTAATTGAGATATAATTTACATATAGTAAAATTTACTTGCAGTTAGCATATCTGCATATTTTTTTGTGTAGTATGGTTATGTACACCTTTTCATTATTGCAGACTTCCTCCTTAAATTCCTTCTCTTGACTCGTACTAGTATGCCTCAAAAGTATAATTTCATTCCTTCTTAATCCCTCCCATTTTGTACTGTTCATTTTTATTTTCCATCTTCTGCAGAGATCTTTTATCCCCTTCTCTAGTATCTTCCCTTTCCGAGGCTGCTTATTATCTAATGAATCATAATTCAGTTAGGTTAGAAATTCAGTTTTGATAATGTACTTGCCATGTTCTGATGTTTATTCTTTGGTATTGCAGGTCATTAATTTTTATATGAATCTTCTGGTGGAAAGAAATAAAAAACAAGGCTATCCAGTACTTCATGCATTCAGTACTTTCTTCTATCCCAAATTAAAGTCTGGAGGTTACCAAGCAGTGAAAAGATGGACCAAAGGGGTCAATCTCTTTGAACAGGAACTAATTCTGGTGCCTATTCATCGGAAGGTACATTGGAGCCTGGTGGTGAGTTGAGAGAGTTAATTGCTGGAGTTTGGATAATGAGTATTTTCTTAAACAATAAAGGATATTCTGTCCACTGAAAGTCTGTACTAAATGTTATAGGCAGACTCCACAGTCCCTTAGTTCTTGAGTCGAACAACCTGGAAAGGTAGAAGAGAGCTGCTGTAGCTGAGTACTTTTCATTTTTAACAGGAAAGGGTTTTAGTACATATGGGTTATTATAAGTTTTGTTTATAAGATAGTACAGGTTACTTGTAGAAAAGTAAAGGTATAAAGAAAAAAGCAAAAAAGAAATCTCATTACTCTGAGAGGACCACTAATGTTTTGGGGGTTGAATTTCTAAGTCCTTCTGTAGGAATGGAAATATGCAAATATACATTTTATAGAAATGAAACTTGTATCACCTGTGATGTTTATAAAAAAAATTTGTCTTAGAAATACATTCATGTTGATACATGCATTGATTTTTTTAAAAGATGCTTGTCCTTTTGAGACATAAAGTCTCACTCCTGTTGTGATTATTTCTGGATGTTGCATTTTTCCATTATAGGTGATAGACCTAAGAAAAAAGTGTCTTAAATATCTGGATTCCATGGGACAGAAGGGCAACAGGATCTGTGAGATTCTCCTGTAAGTAAAGGTTAAAAAACTTCAGTGTTACCTGATTATGCCCTTGTTAGTGATTGATCTTCTATCTAATTCTGATGGTTTGATGTGCAGTGAAGACTCTCTTCCCAGTTGTTCAGGACTTGACTTGAATCCATCTTTTTGTTTAAAAATAACCTAGTAACTGACCTTAACTGAGAAGTCTTGTTTAGTAGCATCATTGAAAGCAAGTTTGTCATGTGTCATAAGGTAAAATATATCTTACTGGAATCCCGTGATTTGAATTAGAATTCTTTGGAATTGATACATATCCTGAATATTCTAAAGAAGTGTTATCTGGAGAGTATTATTTCTCTGAATTCTTAAACCCACTCATATCTCTGCTTTCCATGATGGGTGAGTTCATCTCTTAGAACCCAGAGGTAATTTTTAAATTAGAGTATGTGGTTTGTAGGCAACTGTTTGAAATAGTAATTGCTAGAAACCTCGCTTCAAACAGAGCTATGTATATGGGTGACATGAATTTCACAGTGAGGCAGCACATCTGTAAGACAAGTCTGTTTTGAACCTCTGTGGTTCACTGGAAGCAAATGCAGGTTACTGTTCTTAATTTTAGTAAGGATACTTCAGTAAGAAACTTGTTAAATGAATGATAAAGAAGAAAAGTTACTAATTAGTTCAATTCTTTCTTTTTCAATAATGTCTTAATTATTGTTTTCATTTATGGATGTTTATCTTAAATAAAAATCATAGAGAAGTTTTTAAAATCCTAAAATACACCACATTGTTTATGAAGCAGTTATGTACATGCCCGTGTGTGCACACGTATGTGAATCATCACATGCGCAGACATCTTCTCATTGGACTAATTAATACAGCTTTGTGATATTCATACTTTTGAATTTTTAAAAAGGTTTTATTTATTTATATTCAGAGAGAGCGGAAGGGAGGGAGAAAGGCGGGAGAGACATCAATGTGTGAGAGAAATATCTATCTGTTGCCTCTTGCACACCCCCAACCAGGGACCTGGCCTACAACCCAGGCATGTGCGCCGACCAGGAATTGAACTCATGACCTTTTGGTTTGTGGGACGATGCCCAACACACTGAGCCACACCAAGCAGGGCCAGAATATTTTTCAAAGTATGAAGAGTTCAACTCCCATGGATAAACGAAGCCCCATCCCTTTTCTGATAACTCTATTCCAGCTTTTCTCAACTGTTTTGTTTATTATTACCTCCCTACTCCATCCCCATCCTCGTCATCACCCGCAAGAAAAATTTAGTTTCTCCATTACAAGAGAAAATAATACTAAGGAGTAAGATTATTTTTACTCCTTAAGATTATTAAGGAATAAGATCTCTTTTGTTTGTTGAGTTGAGCGTTGGAGAGCTTCAGGCCATGGAAATACCTGATTTTTCCCTTCTGAGATCTGGTTTTCACCCCCTTGGGGGTGATATTGCTGCTTCCATTGAAAATGCACGCCCTCCTGTAAAGCTGGTTTACCTTCTCTGCAGACTAGGATGAGCACCGAGATGTCTGGGTTACATTTGAAATCCCCCTGGAGATTTGTATAAAATTAATCACCCAAACCCTGGCTGGTGTGGCTCAGTGGATTGAGCGCTGGCCTGTGAACCAAAGGGTTTCCAATGTGATTCCCAGTCAGGGCACATGCCTGGGTTGTGGGCCAGGTCTCTGGTAGGGGGCGTACAAGAGGCAACCACACATTGATGTTTCCCTCTCTTTCTCCGTCCCTTCCCCTCTCTAAAAAATAAATAAATAAGATCTTTTTTAAAAAATTAAAGTTAAAAGAAATAATTAATCACCCAATACTTATGTCTTTTGAGAATAAGGAAATTATCTTAAGTAACTACAGTGCCACTATCACACTTAAGAAAATTAGTAATCAGTAATATGTAATGTATGGCTTATATGTTTTAAGTGAGAAAAAACGTTGTAAGTGAAGTTCTTTTTCTAATAGAACAAAATGTATGTTTTTAAATTATATATACAGGAATGGAGTAGAGAAATAGAGGAATACACAGTAAAATATTATGATTAATGAATTCTGGGGTGATTATTATGGGGTCTTTTGCATTTTATATTTATATGTTTTAATTTTTAAAAAAGCATGTGTAATTTCTATAAGCAAAGAAAAAAAAAACCACTGAAAATTAAAATTTAACACCCAAACTTACGGAGATGAATTTAAGAATGGCCTATGTTAAACATCACAAAGTTCTTTGTAATTTTAATGTTGTCTTCACGGGGGTTCATCAATATATTCTTTCTTTTTGTTTTTTCAGTCAGTATTTACAGGATGAAAGTAAGACCAAAAGAAATATTGATCTGAATCTTTCAGAGTGGACGGACTATAGCATGAAGCCACATGTAAGTGACAATCATCTATGTTTCAAATACTTTGTTGCATTTACTGTCAGAGGTATATTACTTAGACTTTACTACCTTCCTTCCCTCACACACTCATCCTTAGGCATACATTCTCCTGAAGTGTATGTATATCTTAAGAGTGATCCACTTCTCAATCTTTTAACCAAGATGTTTGCTGCTTAGCCTTTATCTTATTGATTAAATTGTAAAGGTTAAAAAACTCAGTAGTTCATGTCAGCTACTTTTCTTGGTTGGCCCTAGTGAAAATTTGAAATTCTTGTTCAAAACTTATCTGGGAAGGATGGGGGGAGGAGAAAAAAAAACTTAACTGGGAATTTTGCATATTCAACTCTTTTTTGTAAAGCATAATTTATTGATTATGCTTTTACAGCTGTCCCAATTTCTCCCCTTTGCCCCCTCCGCCCGGTACCCCCCTTCCCTCCAGCAAACCCCTGCTTGGTTCATGTCCATGGGTCATGTCCATGGGTCATGGATATAAGTTCTTTGGCTCCTCCATTTCCTGTATTATTCTTAGCATCCCCCGTCTGTTTTGTACTGCCAGTTTGTACCTAATCCCTGCATCTTTTCCCCCATATTCCCCCTTCCCCCTCCCAGCTGATAGCCCTCCATGTGATCTCCATATCTATGATTCTGTTCCTGTTCTGGTTGTTTGCTTAGTTTGTTTTTGTTTTTTAGATTCAATTGTTGATAGTTGTGAGTTTGTTGTCATTTTACTGTTCATAGTTTTGATCTTTTTCTTAAGTAAGTCCGTTTAACATTTCATGTAATAATGGCTTAGTGATGATGAATTCCTTTAGTTTTTTTCTGGTCTCGGCAGCACTTTATCTGCCCTTCCATTCTAAGTGATAGCTTTGCTGGATAGAGTAATCTAGGTTGTAAGTCCTTGCTTTTCATAACTTTGAATACTTTTTGCCAGCCCCTTCTTTGTGGCAGACCCCATCCCGCTCCCGCGGATACCCGCAGATGAAATAACAAGTCATTCCAGACACCCAAGTGCTGTCAGGAAAAGGGGAGAGCGGTTCTCTCTAGAGGAGAATGCCAGGAGCCCTTCTCTGAAGTGGCTTTTATTGAAAACTATATACAGTGTGCATGCAAAGCTTATCAATCAATGCCTAAAGGCTATATTTATAGAAAACAGATAGAGATCATAGATAACAATTGAAGTAACACAGAGATTTGCCTCAGGTCAGGGTCGGTTAGACATGCTGACTTTATTTTTATTTTTTATTTTTTAAATATTTTATTTATTTATTTCCAGAGAGAGGGGAAGGGAGGGAGAAAGAGAGGGAGAGAAACATCAATGTGTGGTTGTCTCTCATGCGCCCCTTACTGGGGACCTGGCCTGCAACCCTTTGGTTTGCAGGCCAGTGCTCAATCCACTGAGCCACACCAGCCAGGGCAGACATGCTGACTTTAGATGGTCTTTAAGGCATGGCTCCTGAGTTCTGGAATTCACTCCTTCTGCTTGGAGCTTTTTAAACATCTGGTTTTTCCTTATCAGGTCAGTGCAAAGCAGAGCAAGCTTCAGTGGATACAATGCATTCTTTAAGCCAGGTTTCCCATGGGAACCCTCGGTGTTAGCATCAGATCATGCTGCCTCCAGCATTCCCAGTTTCCTGGTCGAGATTTACAGGCCCCTTTTAAGGCCTGGCTCGCGCGGGGCTACAATTCCTGATACCACACAAAGGGGTCTCCAACAATTCTTGTCTGCAAGAAGTCCCTTTTGAGAAACCAGCTGGTAGTTGTATAGTTGTTAGTTTGTTGTCATTTTACTGTTCATAGTTTTGATCTTTTTCTTAAGTAAGTCCGTTTAACATTTCATGTAATAATGGCTTAGTGATGATGAATTCCTTTAGTTTTTTTCTGGTCTGGGCAGCACTTTATCTGCCCTTCCATTCTAAGTGATAGCTTTGCTGGATAGAGTAATCTAGGTTGTGAACTCCTTTGTACGTAACTCTCTGCCTTTTTCTCTTGCTGCTTTTCAGATTCTCTCTTTCTCTTTAACGTTTGGCATTTTATTTATGTTGTGTCTTGGTGTGGTCCTCTTTGGGTCCAACTTGTTTGGGACTCTCTTTGCCTCCTGGGCTTATATGTCTGTTTCCTTCTCCAAGTTAGGGAAGTGTTCTTTCATTATTTTTTCAAATAAGTTTTCAATTTCTTGCTCTTCCTCTTCTCCTTTTGGCATCCCTATGCTCCAGATGTTGGTACTTTAAAAGTTGTCCCAGAGGTTCCTAAGTGTCTCCTTGTTTTTTTGAATTCTTGTTTCTTCATTCTGTTCTGTTCTAGTTGAATGTTTATTTCTTCCTTTTGTTCCAAATCATTGATTTCAATCCCAGCTTTCTCCCCATCACTGTTGATTCTCTGTATAGTTTTCTTTATTTCACTTAGTGTAACCTTCATTTCTTCCTTTACTTTGTTGCTATACTCAATGAGTTCTCTGAGCATCCTTATCACCAGTGTTTTGAACTCTGCATCGATAGATTGGTTATTTCCATTTCATTTAGTCCTTTTCCAGGGGGTTTGATCTGTTCTTTCATTTGGGCCATATTTCTTTGTCTCCTCAATTTGGCAGTCTCCCTGTGATTGTTTCTGCGTATTAGGTAGAGCTGCTTTGACTCCTTATCTTAGTAGTGTGGCCTACGTAGAAAAGGCACGTGTAAATTGTGTGGAGCAGAGCCTAAGGTAATTGCCAGGGTGGTGCAGCCCACTTCACTGCTGTATGGTTCTCTGTGGGGCAGGGATGGCCTGGAGAGGGGACATTGCCACTGTCTGGCCTCTGGACTACAATGTCCTTACTCAGCTCGGCTTCCAGTGACCTCACCCACCTCCTGTATGCGATTCGCGTCCTTCCCACTGCTGCTGGGGTGTTTGCTTAGATTCTAAGCCCATGTGGGCCCTTTAAATGGTGAAAATCCAGCATTCCTCTGCCTTCCCAGCCCCCACTGGTTTTTATATCCAGAGGTAATGGGGGTATCTTCCCAGTGCTGGAGCCCTGGGTTCTGTGGTCTGGCCTGGGGTTAGGATCGCTCACTCCCAAGGTATCCTTCCCAATATTTTAAACAAAGATTTTATTTATTTAGCCCTGGCTGGTGTGGCTCAGTGGATTGAGTGCTGGCCTGCGAACCAAAGAGTTGCTGGTTCAATTCCTAGTCAGGGCACATGCCTGGGTTGCGGGACCAGGTCCTTGGTTGGGAGTGTAGCAAGAGGCTATGACTGATGTTTCTCTCACACATAGATGTTTCTCCCTCCTCGCAAAGAAATTTAAAAAAAAATTTTTTTTTTTAAAGAAAGAAAATTCTCTTTATTTGTGTATTGGCATCTATACTTCTCTCCCACCTGTAAGAGATGCTGGGCTTGAACAAAAGCAAGAAGTACCTACCATATGTATGGGTAGTGTGCATGTTTAAACAATCCTTTTTCATAAAAATCATCTGTATTTTTTTGAATAAAAATTAAGTATGTTTTCCAGCAGTGGAATCAAACTCTCTTACACTCTTACTATCTTGTGCTCTTGATAACTGAGAGCCAGTCTGTGTAAGGGGCTGGCCCAGATTAGTGGGCCTAGGGAACGTATGGATTTGGATTCCACTGACTTTGGCTTTTGATACACTCTTGCCTCAGGACAGAACTGAGCAATCAAGGCAAGATACCCTAATTGGTTAAAGCCTATCAAGAAGCTTTTTAATCTTTCTTCTGCTTGGAGCTGTGGGTGTCCAAAGCTGTAGCCCTATTCTGGCTAGGGAAGAGAAGTTAAACTCTTCTCTTTCCTTCTGAAAAACGTTTTCTGTGGGGTCACACACTCCATGTCATAGTTAGGACTTTTAATGCTACATAAAGACTAATTGTGTAATGCCACATTTAACGTTTACTTTATAATACTGTTGATCCACAGTAATAGTTAGAAAAAGTCAAAGGGGTTTGTATTTGTTGAAATTTTATCTTCCCTTCTTTTTTTTAAAACTTCAGGAGATTCCTCAACAGTTGAATGGGAGTGATTGTGGAATGTTTACTTGTAAATATGCAGATTATATGTCTAGGGACAAACCTATCACATTTACTCAGGTGAGTGAAGACCCTTCCTCATCCACTTGTTACTAAACAAGGTAAACTCAGAGCATGTTACCGGGGCCTGGCACATACTAAGATCCTAATAATGGTCGCTGTGCTACCGTTGCTGCTGTAAACTTTGGCTGTAGCTTTGATTTTCCTTTACATGTAAAAATACTAATGATATGTACTATAATAAACATTATAAACCTCCCTTTTACTGTCACTGCTCAGGATTTGTCAGTGCATCTGCTCTCAGGTTTATCCTACTGAACCTTGCGTGACTATTGGGTCAATTTGCTATCTTTCAGCTCCATGTCCATTGGTTTGTCTGAGTGTTACTGCTATTTTTGGCTGAAGGAGGAATGTCAGAATATGTTAAGAGCAAGAGGAAATTAGGGTTTTTGAGAACTTAAGCCACAGGTTTAAGATAAAATTATGAATACTGCTTTTCCCTTCTGTTGTAGTTATTATTGGTTTTCCATTGCTCTGTATTTGAGTGAAAATTAAAATATGTTGGGAACTCTAGAGAATGTATGTATGGATTCTCAACGTTTTTACAACCGAGAATAACCCATTTTAAAAACATTTTTCTTAAAAAAGACCTCATTTTGTTAGATGTGGCCTACCAAACTCTACTTATTGAATAGTAGGACTGATAAACCTATTCCCAGCTTTGGGGCAACCTGAAAAAACTAGGGCTCCCATGCTGCATTAATACAATTCCAGTCTAAAATAGGGCACCTATTATTGGTTAGTTTTGAATCAATGTACAAATTTTCATGACATGTTTTGAGCTATTTAAATTGCACAAATCCCTGTGTAAAGACTTCTTAGGTCCATCCAAGTAGGAAATCACTTTGTGGTAAAGTGGTAGGTCCAGCTGTTTATAATGAGACACCAGGACAACCTCAAGGGCGTAAACTTCTGATTTCATCAGAAAGAGGACTAGTTGAATTACAGGTGATTTTGGATCTATCTTGTATGTTGCTGCTTTGAAAATTGCCCCGGTAGTGATTACCAGTTAAAGCAGAAAAACATATTAAGCAAAACATCTCATTCTTTGACGCTTCTAAGTAACAATTATTTTTTCTGAATCTAATGGCACAGGGATTTGAAGGGGAGAAGTTGCTATTTGAACAGTAATAGCAACGTGCATTTTATAGAGCTGAAAGAAAGTTGTGGATTTGTTTTTTTCTTAAATAGAATTCTTGCTTTTATAAAAAAGCAGAATATGTTAAGTAGAAAAGATCTCTATTGTGCCAGCACTTGGATATTCCCATTTTTGGTATACATTTTTGTTATCGGGTTGTTTGACTCGATTGTATAATTCTGCACCCTGCTTTGATTTTCCTTTACATGTAAAAATACTAATGATATGTACTATAATAAACATTATAAACCTCCCTTTTTATGGCTTCATAAGTCTGTACCAGGATGTAAAAAGTCAAGGCTTACCTAAAGAACATGGGCACCCTACTGTATTTACATGATCGCACTTAAAGGTTGTTGAGGCTGTGCAAGTAAATGTAATGTATGTGTTGTTGGTGGCTTCTTTGCAGCACCAGATGCCTCTCTTCCGGAAGAAGATGGTGTGGGAAATCCTTCATCAGCAGTTGCTGTGAGAACGCCCTACTCAGTCCCTTAGCTGCTGGTGGTTCTTTCACGGAGGGACATTTTCATATACCTCATGCATTGTGGGTTAAAAAGTCCCTGCATCGCCTGTTGTGACAGGTGCTGAGCTGTCAGACAAGCATGGAGGCCCTGCACCCTAGCGCCCTGACTTGGTATGCGGAGGGCTGCTTGCAACCCTGTTTGAAAAGATATGCCTGCTCAGAGCCCCGGACTCTTCAACCCACACAGGAACAAACGCTAATTAATACTTTATTTTAAATATTTTTTCCCCTGTGAATGTGTAAAATGCAGGATTTATTCTATGAGTTGTTTTTTTCTGTGTTTGTTCACGTGTATTCATTCTCTCACTCATTTGCAAACATAATGGGCAGTGGCTGTTTCTGCTGCTCTTTTACAGTTAACTCTGAATTACTTGTTTGAACTATTTATTTCTGAAAAGAATGTTAATCAAGCTGCCACTCCCTGCTGAAGATGTGGTGGGAACTCAGTGGGGGGAGGAAGGAAGGAAGGAAGAAAGTGTTAATTAACTTCTCTAACGCTGGAGCAGTAACTGCCAACTTGAAGCTGGAGGTCTTTTTTAGAGGCTTGAAAATGCTGGGAGAAGCGCCGTGGTGTAGGGCTCTGATTGCTTTTCAGAGGAAGCCTGCGACGCGGCATTGGCACTGTGTGGTGGAAAAGCGGAACTGTGGCCAAGGAACTCTGACTATCCAGGCATCTTCAGAAGAGTGTCGTGGTCATCCTAAAGAGACTTTCCTTTCTGGAAATGAGGTGACTGCTACTCTCGAAACTGGATTTGAAGTAACTGTAAACCCTAAATTTTCATTTTCATCCCAGATCTGGTTGAGTATAAACCTCAGAATTGTAAGGGCTGGCCTGAGCTGTTTATTTCAAAAGATGCTATTCAATTTAAAGCTATTTTTCCTCAAAGGTTTTTTTTTTTCTATATAGAAAGCTAAAATTAAGTTTTGTACTTATTAGGATTTAAATTCCCCACCCCCTCCATTCCACCCCTACTGAAATTTGTGGAAAAAAATTTAGTACTTGGCTCTGAGGTTACCAGATATACAATAATCTATTTTGCATATGAAAGTTTGTATTTAACTTTTTTGTTCATTAAAAACTTTACAGTGGTTATGCATTTTTAATTTCAGAAAGCTTAGAGTTCGTCAGAACATATTTTGCAAGATCTAGTGCCTAGTGTTGCTTTTCCGATGTAATAAAAGGTTGCCTGGCAGAACCTGAAAAGTATATGCTGAAATGATTTCTAACCCTTTCCCGAACTAAGCTCCTGAACTTGTCCTGCCTGGTATACAAAAGCAAGAGGTAGAACCAGAAAAATTGGGCATGTGTTAGCTATGTATCAACATGTCTGCCATCTGGAGGGCCCCAGGCTGCTGGCCACAGAGGCGTGCTGTGGCAGCCAGTTTTCCCTGAGACATGTCTTGGTGTGGGACCTGGGGCCTGTGATGCAGATTGAAACTGCTGTCCCTGTTTGATGGCCAAACCAGAGGACACGTGCTTAGGTGATGATTAAAGAATGAGTCAGTTGTGCTACATCTCCCTCAAGCTTAGGCTGCCCAGAGAACCCTTCCTGCAGCTTCCGTGCATTTCCCGAGGCTACTGGAGTGGGGCCAGTGAGTACTGGGACCAGGCAACCAAAAGAGATTTACTGGGTCGGCAATTATACCAAAAACCTGGTTCCCACTGGCCACTAGTAGGTTTCACCTGAGAATGTAGTACCTTGGTTAACATTTGTTCCATTTGGGGTAAATTCTGTCGGGAATGGCAGATTGTATTCTGCCCATATGAGTGAGGCTGGGGGTTCATGTATTTGTATTACATTTGAGGGGCTTCATAGAGCAGCTTCCACTGAGCATTCCCTTAATGTGTACTCTTAAGGATAGCTCTTTAAAAAAAAAAATTTTTTTTTTCTTTATTTATTTTTAGAGAGAAGGGGAGGGAGAGAGAAAGAAAGGGAAACATCAATGTGTGGCTGCCTCTCCTGTGCTCCCTCCTGGGAACCTGGCCTGCAACCCAGGCCTGTGCCCTGACTGGGAATCCAACCAGTGACCCTTTGGTTTGTAGGCCGGCAATCAGTCCACTGAGACACACCAGTCAGGGCCAGGATAACTCAATAATCTTCCAGGACGTGATGAAATTGATAAAAACAGAGTTAAGTTAGAAGTGGCATTCTACTTAACCCTGAGTCCCTGAGTTTGTTTAGGCCATGCTTCTCTAGGCACTGGCAGACATGTGTCTCTTGGTGCAGAGAAACTTGTTGGTAATAGAATTTTTATATCTAAACAGTTTATGAGAAAAGCAGTCACATGATTAAAAACAGGTGTTGATTTTATCAATATTATGTATCAATATATAGCATTATTGAAATTATCAACATTAAAGCCCGTGAAACATATATACAGGGTCCAGCACAAATAACGCCCCTTTTTTTATTACAAAGCATGTAATTCTGTAATGTAACAGTATCACACTCAAGCATATGATATGACATTTTAGGAGAAATGTTCAAAATAAAACTATAAATTTTTATACCCATATTATTACCCTACCAACCACACTCAAGCAGGCCTTACTTCTGCCAGACCCTGTATATTATAGTAGTTTGGGGGTGGGGGTCTGAAAAAAGGTGGCGTGAACCATTGTTCTTTTTTAGTAGGCAGTCTCTCCTAAAGATTGATTAAAATGGAGAAAAGAAACCATTGGTGAACAAATGTCTTTTGTGTGTTTGACCTTGTACCAGAGTTGGGATGCGGGTGGGAGGGAAACAGACGCGGGGCATGTGGAAGATGTTCTGGAGAGCCCTGTATTCTACCTCAGTTACCGAAGGCTGTTAGAACTTCTGATCTTTCCTCCTCTGAGACCTGAAGCACCGCGCGGGGACTGCCCTGGCAGATGGTGGGAGCCTGCTGCACTGTGAGGCGTTGCTTGGTGCTGGGACCAAGGTGTGGGTGTGGGGAGAATGTGTCCTTGAGATACGCTGAAGCTTGATAAGAATAAAGTAGAGAAATTTAATAACCTTAGTACTGTAGTTCAGCCACATTGTTTAAATTGGCTTTTGTGAACCAATTGGCAGACTAATTTCTTTATGATAGTTTCTTTGAGAAAACCTCTAAGGACCTGGTAAACAAACGTTTGGTACTTGTTTGTAAGTTGGGGATCGAGCTGGCTGTATTACTTTGATTTTTTTTTTCTTTAAATTTACCTAATATATACAAGGAAAGGGTTTGGGTGTTTGAAATAGGTGTCAATTTTATCTATCAATAAATTCATCTCTTTAATTCAGTGGCTTTCAAATTTTTTTGCTTGCATCTCAATAATAAATGTGTTTCATATTGTGACCAATACAGACATGCATATAATGTGATTAAATATGGACACACAAGTTTTACAAAAGCGTTACGTAATACCCTCTGAATTTTATTTTGGTATTTAAAATAAAGTGCATTGTGACTGAGTTGATTTTTAAACCCACTAGTGAATAGAAATCTACAGTGAAAAACACTGCTCTAAATGATCTATCAGCAAAATGCAAGTTATGTTTTAAACCATAAAGCTTGAGACTACAAAGATAGGATAAATGTGGGGTGTTTTGAGATGAGTCAGTCTAGGAACACAGGCCAGAAGCTCAGTGGAAATATGTGATATAAAATCCTTATTCTTCAGGGTTTTCCACTGGCATTTCCTGAAATATGTTAAGTCAAAATCCTATTACTTCTATGTGAGATGTAAAACCAAGGGTCCTATGCCCAATGAATGCGTGTACCATGTGATGCATAGTAAACACAATGTCAATTTAGCATTTCTGAAACTTGGACATTGAGCCCTTCTCTATGATACCTGTGGAGCTGTTGCTTGGAAACACTTTGGAAAATGTCCAGAGAAGCAGCACAGAGTTCTTGGAAGCATGTACTTCAAATACATACCAAGGGAGCATTCTCCCCTACCTCACCCCCAAGTCCACATACTGCCTCTTTAAGATCACATAGTGATACTAAAGTCTGTGGTTCCCACTTATATTTTCTTTTTAAAAATTTTTTTAGAAGTGTTCTATTAGAGTTTTGTTCAATTTTCCCCCTGCTTTCCCCTGCTCTGCCCACCAACATTTTCTTTAATTGTATCTGTAATAGGTGTTCATAGTAAAAAAATAAAATACTGCTAAAAGGTAAATAATAAGGATTTTGCAAACTCACTACCCAGAGTTAATAGCTGTTAATGATATTTTGGTGTAAGTCCTAGTCTTTGGTATATACCCCTTCATATGTGTATGAGCAAGTGTGTGTTTTGTATGCTTGTGTGTGTATATTTTTTGTTATTAATATGGACTGATAGGATATATATATCAGCCCATATTAATAACAAATTATATAGATATATATGGCTATATAACCCTTTCCACTTAATTTATCTTGACTATAATTTCATGTCAATAAATATTGACATTTTTACGGTATATTTTATTGATCATGCTATTACAGTTCTCCCAATTTTTTCCCCCTTTGCCCCCCTCTACCTGGTACTCTCCTTCCCTCCAGCTTCTCCCCCCACCCTCTTAGTTCATAATTCATGTCCATGGGTCATGCATATAAGTGCTTTGGCTTCACCATTTCCTATACTATTCTTAACACCGCCCCCTCACCGCGGCCTATTTTGTACCTACCAATTATGCTTAATCTCTGTACTTTTCCCCTTATTTTCCCCTTATTTTCCCCTTATTCTCCCCTTATTCTCCCCTTTCCCTCTCCCCTCTGATAACCCTCCAGGTGATTTCCATATCTATGATTCTGTTCCTGTTCTGGTGGTTTGCTTACTTTGTTTTTGTTTTTTAGATTCAGTTGTTGATAGTTGTTGTCATTTTAATGTTCATAGTTTAGATCTTTTTCTTAAGTGCCATTAACATTTCATGAAAGAGTGGCTTAGTGATGATGAACTCTTTTAGTGTTTTTCTTTTTTTAAAGGTTTTATTTATTTTGAGAGATGAAGGGATAGAGAAAGAGGGAGAGAGACATTAATGTGTGGTTGCCTCTCATGTTCCCCCAACTGGGGACCTGGCCTGCAACTCAGGCATGTGCCCCTACCGGGAATTGAACTGGCTACCTTTTGGCTCCCAGGCCAGCACTCAATCCACTAGCCAGGACTCCTTTAGTTGTTTCTTGTCTGGGCAGCACATTATCTGCCCTTCCATTCTAAATGATAGCTTTTCTGCATAAAGTAATCTTGGTTGTAGGTTTTCATCACTTTGAATACTTCTTGCCAGCCCCTTGTCTGCAAAGTTTCTTTTGAGAAATCAGCTGAGAGTCTAATTGGAACTCCTTTGTAGATAACTCTGCCTTTTTCTCTCGCTGCTTTTAAGATTTTATCTTTAACCTTTGGCATTTTAATTACGATGTATCTTAGTGTGGTCCTCTTTGAGTACAATTTGGGATCCTATGAGCTTCCTAGACTTGTATGTCTATTTCTTTTGGACTTACATGTCTAAATTAGGGAAGTTTTCTTTCATTATTTTTTCAAATAAGTTTTCAATTTCTTACTTTTCCTCTTCGCCTTCTGGCATCCCTATGATTCACATGTTAGTCCTTTTGGAGATATCCAGGGTCTCCTTATTCTCCCCTCTTTTTTTTTTTTTTTTTTTTTGATCCTTGTTTCTTCATTCTGGTGTGGTTGGATGTTTATTTTTTCCTTCTGTTCCAAATTGTTGATTTGAACCCCAGCTTCCTTCCCTTCACCTTTGGTTCCCTGTGGATTTTTCTTTATTTCACCTAGTGTAGTCTTTATTTCTTCCCTTATGCTTTTGCTGTACTCACTGAGTTCTCTGAGCATCCTTATCACCAGTATTTTGAACTCTGCATCTGATAGGTTGGCTATCTCTGTTTTGTTTAGTGTTTTCCTGGGGTTTTGTTTTGTTCTTGTATTTGAGCCGTATTTCTTTGTCTCCTCAACTCAGCAACCTCCCTGTGTTTGTTTCTGTGTATTAGGTACAGCTGCTTTGACTCCCTGTCTTAGTGCACCTGTTAAATTGTATGGGGCGGAGCCTTAGGTAATTGCCAGTAACTTGGTGCTTTGTGGCTCTATATGTGGGGGAGGAGTTGGTGAGGTGACAATGCTGCACCCTGGCTGCTGGAGGCTTGTTCGACACTTCCCCCATTTATATTCACTTCATCCACTTCCCGTATGTGACTGGCGCCCTTCTAGGTGTTGCTTTGGTGGTGGTTCCTAGAGTGGGCGGGTTTACCTACATTTTAGGACCATGCACACCTTTTAAAAGGACCCTCTAGAGAGACCAGCAGTGTCTTCCACCCCCACCACCACTGGTCTTTACAGCCAGAAATTAGGAGGCTTTATTTTCCTGGCACTGGAACACTGGACTACACAGTCCGGACTAGGGCTGGGATCGCTTGTTCCCAAGGTATCCCTAACTTTTATCCACCATACGTGCATGTGGGACCGCCCATTCTTCTGACCATCGCCTGGCCACTGGCAAATCACATTCTCTCAGTCCTAGCTTCCTATCTCCACCCCTTCTACCCGTGTGGATGAATATGGCTTCTTTAAATCCTTGGTTGTCAGACTTCCATACAGTTCGATTATCTGGCGGTTCTGGATGTTTTTTGTTTTGAGGTTGTGATCCTCCTTATGGTTGCACAAGGAGGTGAAGCACATCTACCTACGCCTCCATCTTGCCCAGAAGGCTACACTCGATCTTAGCCAAAAGGCCAAGAAGCAATTGACCGGAAGTCTAAATACTGACATTTTAATTGCAGCATAGTGTTCCAACATATGACTATACATGATTCACCTAGTACAGTATCGTTGGAAATACCATTCTGCACAATGTTTGGGTTATTCACTTAGAGAAATTTTTAGAATTAAAATTTCTGAGTTAAAGTTATGTATAACAAAAATATCAGGGACAACAATCATCCATTGATACTTTGACTTATTCTGGCACAGGATGATTATTTGTTATCTCCATTGATTTAAGTTTTATAAGACATACACATCATTACCCTCTTCTTTGTTCCACTTATTTATGCATTCAGTGGTTGATTCTTATATGTGCCCTGACTGTGGATTGAACCCACAACCTTGACCTATTGGGCTCAATATCCAACCAACAAAGCTACCTGGCAAGGGCTAAATGTGGCTCATCTTTTCTTAAAAAGATTGAATTTATTTTTAGAGAGTGGAAGGGAGGGAGAATGAGGGAGAGAAGCATTGATCAATTGCTTCTTGTTTGCTCCCCAACTGCCGACCTAACCCACAACCCGGGCATGTGCCCTGACTTATCAACGACCTTTTATTTTGTGGATGACACCCAACCAACGGAGCCACCATAGGTCAAGGCTAAATGTGGGTCATCTTGATCCACAATTTTTTCAGAGGGGAGTAGAGGGTCTGGAGTATTTTATTTTATAATTATATTTTACTGATTATGCTATTACAGTTGTCCTGGTTTTTTCCCCCTTTCCCCTCTCCACCCAGCAGCCACCACTCCCCCAGGCAATCCCTACGCCATTGTCATATCCATGAATCATGCATATATGCATATAGGTTCTTTGACTACTCCATTTTCTATACTTTATATTTGCATGGCTAATTAGTAACTACCTATCTGCATTTTTTAATCCTTCACCTCTTCACCTGTTTCCCCATATCCACCTCCCATCTGGCAACCATCAAAACACTCTCCATACCCATGATTCTGTCTCTGTTCTTTGCTTAGCTTGTTTTTTAGGTTCACATGTTGACAGGATGTATTTATTGACATTTTATTGTTCATAGTTTTGATCTTAAATAAGCCCCTTTAACATTTCATATAATAATGGTTTGGTGATAATGAACTCCTTTAGCTTTCTCTTGTCTGGGAAACTCTGTCTTTCCATGCTAGATGATAGCTTTGCTGGTGGAGCAGTCTTGGCTATAGGTCCTTTCTTTCCATGACTTTGAATATTTCTTGCCAATCCCTTCTAGCCTGTAAAGTTTCTTTTGAGAAATCAGATGACAGTCTTATGGGACTCCCCTAAAGGTAACTAAATGCTTTTCTTTTGCTGCTTTTAAGATTCTTTATCTTTAACCTTTGGAATTTTAATTATAATGAGTCTTGGAGTGGGCACCTTTGTTTGCATCCATCTTGTTTCAGACTCTGTGCTTCCTGGACTTGTATGTCTATTTCCTTCACCAAATTGGGGAAGTGTTCTTTTAGTATTTTTTCAAATAGATTTCCAATTTCTTGC